ATCACCAAAAATTTAAACAACAATCAGTCGTCAGACGTTTTTTTTTTGGTGTAATTTAACGCAGCTAAAATACATTTCATGACATGCCCATGCCATGTAAAGTGATTCATGCCACACATTGTGTACACGAGTGTTTGGTTGGCTTGTTTATAAAATCAAAATAAAAAAAAAAATAAAAAATAAAAAAATGAATAAAAAAATCATTAAGACTACTCATTGACGTTTTATAGATTTCCATTTCCTTTAACACTTCGCTGGAATGTTTTGGCTTGGGCTATGAGTAAACGAAATGTGATGAAAAAAATGAAATAATAAAAAAGATTTCTGTTTAGGTGTTATCTTAATCTACGTTGCACACTTATTTATCAAAGCCATCTTTATATTATCGTTATTTATTTATTTAGTTGTTGTCGATTAAGGTGATTTTTATGAGGGTTCTTAAGCCGGACATGTAAACAATTTCATTGTAGCAATAAATAAACGTTTGTAAGTGGAGGGACAAAGGGTGCATTGTTAGAACTGAAGTAAATTTACATACAAACTTTTTTTTGAATATTTTTTTTATTTATGAAAATTAGAATGTAGCTCGCTGCCTTGGTATACATATATGTGTGAAAAAAAAAAAATAAAATTTTCCTACGACTCTATTTTATGTTTTGTTATTATCTCAAAATGAATATAAAAAAATAAATTATTTCAATTTTTTCGTATTTTTTTCTTTTAGCATTTGTGTAATAATATCTGATCTTCGAGAGAACTGCGGCCATGATTAACTTATTTGAAAAAAAAAAATAGTAATAATAAACAGTCTTGTATAATAATATAACCCTTATATGCATTAACTTATCAACTGCATTAAGTTTTTTTTCTGCATTACCTCAAGCATTAAATTCTCAACATATATGTATATATATATATGCGAGTATATAAGAGCTGTATTATGTACCTACATATATTCAGGCGCACAATAAATACCGTTTTTATTGCTGTAAATTTAAAATGCATGTTTGAAGATGTATTTGGAGATTTTATTAATTTTTTTTTTGCATATTTTAGGAATATCTTAATGATTTTGAATTATATAAGGCACATTAAATTTTTGTTTGCATTAAATCTTAAAAAAAGCGATGAAATAAATTTTTTGAATGCATTAAAATTGTATCTGCATTAAATTTTTATGTGCATTAAATCATGCGTTAGACTCACAAAATTCATATTAATATCAAGTTTTAAGAGCTAAAATTTTGGGAGCTATAAATACTCTCTATTTTAGATTATATTTATATATATATATATATTCCTAGTATAGTATATGCTTGCCAGTGCATCAAGACAAAATATATTTATTTAAAAAAAAAAAAGATTCCAATCGTTTTTAACGCTGCAATAAACTACAATGCATGGTTAGTTGCACTTGACTTCACTTCATGTTAGTGTTGAAATAAATGTTTTTGATGCATTAAATCTTTAGCTGCCTTAAAATTTTGGTTGCATTAACTCTTAAAGAATACTTCAAAAATTAATTTTGGCGCCAAATATAAGCTGCTGGAATAAAAAAATGCTGTACCGTTTCTTTATCTCCAAATTTAAAATATATAATATATTTGCCTTAAAAAATATTTGTATTAAAAATTTACGGCTCATTTGCAAATTCTTAGAGCAATGTTTGATTTTTGTATTCATAGAAATTTTTATTTTTAACTTTCTACACACCAAAAACTGGTTGTTGTATGCGTTATTTTGCACTTTTACAAAAATTTCTGATATAAATGCACATTAGTGACATTTGTTAGGGTACAATAGTTAATGCGCATTAGAATGATAATTTTTTTTGCCATAACGCAGCATTTTTGAGAAAAAGTTTCAAGCTTACTTCGAAAAATAATGCTGACAAATGTTGTTAATTGTTTAGATTTTCCGTTAATACAATTATAAACAGCTAACTACACGTATAAATATGTATTTGTATATATATATATATATATATATATGTGTTTATATATTTTTGGTTAGCACATTTGCTTCAATTCATGTACCGAAAGTCTTTCTCATGATCTCTTCAAATTAACTCTTAGAAAAAACACATGTGTAACTGTTTATTTACACATTATATATATGTATGTATGTACATATTTATGCTCTTGTAAATAACCATAAACTCATGTAAGTACTTGTAAACCGCCATGACTTGGGTTCTAATTAACGCCTTCCGCCAAGTGATTCAGTTCAGAGCTGTGATGCAGCAAAAAATAGTGAACTACATACATTCATATATATATACATACCTACATATATACATACATACATACATACATCGTAGATGGTAAAAATCAATCGAAATCACAATCGAAATATGAAATTTCGGTATTTGAAAAACATATTAGTTTAAGTTTAAATTCCAAAATTAAAGAATTTAAAATTTATAATACATATATATTATAAAATTTGTGCTCTTTCGTGCTTATTTCTTTTTACGTTGATGGAAACTGAATTTTTTCAATATAAAAAATGAAATTCTTTAAAAATTTTATTTCACACAAAATGCTTGTGAAGTCACGTCAGCTCAAGTGTTAGTAGCACTAAATGTAATGAAATTCAATTTAAACTGGAAATTTCAAAGTCCAATAAAAAGAAAAAATCGCACGAGAAAGGCACATTCGAAGCAGTCATTTCCTTACTTAATAAAATAAAAGCGTAAAACAAAAAAAAAAAAAAAATTACTTAAAAATAAAATAAATATGCATAAGCTTTCCTGTGACCAAATAACCCCTTTAAACACAACTGAACGAAAGTATTTTGTATACACTTGAATGTGGGCAAAATTAAAATCGTACCGAATTGCCTGTGGACTGCGGTTTCATCTGAAGTTTTGCGCGATGCTTTTTAGTATCACCTTTATTAATAACTTTATTAGTGAGTGTAAAATATGAGTGCAAAATAATAATTAAATGGCAGCTTTTATTTTATTAACTTTTCATTCGTGCCTTTTCCTTCTCACTTCCATCACTCCCTTTTCACTCCTGCCTCTCGCTTTTACTTCTGCCTCTCTTCTCACTCCAGTTTCTCTCACATCATTACTGGCTCTGTGTTCTCTCTCCTCTCATGACATGCTGGATTTTAGGCACGGTTATAAATAATTAAATTTCAAGCCATTAACAGGCCTATTCTCACTGTTACCGGTAAAGTAAATTTTGTTACTTTTCTTTAACACCAGAAATTGAATTTGGTATTCTGGCGAACTGGTTGCAATGTTTGAAAAAAATTTGGCAGCACTGTTTTTTTCGTCCATGTCAAATTACATTTGCCAGTTGATAAAGTAAAAAGGAAAATATTCACATCGGAATGGAAGACGGTGCACAAAAAAACTAAAAAGTTTTTTTTAATTTGTTTATTAAATCATAAATATTTGAACTTAATTATGGAAAATATGCCTGGACAACAAAAAAGCTGAATGAAATTTTTTCTTCATCTTCAATGAATTCCAGGCCTAAAATATGCCTACCCATTTTGGTTTTTTATTTTTTCTCAAACTTACAACATAAAATCAAACAGCAGATATTTTTCTTACCTCCTATTTTGCTGGTAACAAAATTTACAGGGTAACAGTGAGCTCAGAATACGAAATGGTAACAAAATTTACTGAATGGTAAATTTTAATACCCAGCTAAATTTTGTTACCTCGACAGAATGGGGCTGTAGATGTCATAATAATCAACAATCTCGCACACGTTTGGAGACATTTGCATGACAATTTTTTTAAAGCAGCGCACTTTTTTTTGCTAAAATCGAACTGATTTTAGTTCTACCTCCTTCGCTCTTCTCATTCATGATTTCTACATAGAATTTTATTATTCTATTTTACGATTGCTTTTATTGCCATTAAAAAATTGTATTTTCTTTAGTAAAAAAAAAAACTGTTTGCACGAATTGATGTAGTAGTTGTAGAGGTGTGATCGTGTCATCTTTGGTGATCGCATCGATCGGCATTGCGTTCTGCCCTTTGTTGTTAGCGAGTGACCGGGAAGAACACCGGATACACGACTACACATTTTATTGCCACAATAAGTGTGTACATATGTATGACAATACAATTATTTTGTTTTTTTTTTTTGTAATTCTCTTTTGTTGTCCATATTACATAAAAATATATGTATATTATTATTTCTAGTTTTTATTTGGTTCACACATTTGTTTTGTTCGCCACATTCGTTCGTTTTGTTTTGTTGACAGCTAACGCTGAATGTGAAATTTTACTATTTCATTTTTAATTTTTTAATTTATTTAATTTTATTTCTTTAATGAGACGATTTGTATTGTATTGTTTTCTGTTTGCTTTTTGATGTTTAGTATATGAATTCCAATATTTCGAACTATACACATTCCGCTGGCTTGAAGAATTCGTATTTTCGTATAAATTATAAAGCCAAATGTGTGCATGATACTCCTCGGAGCCTTGTTTTGTATAGGCAAACTAAATCACCTGGTCTAGAAAATGAACGCCTTCACTGGTAGAAATACCACCATGATTCAGCTTTTCAGCAAAATCTCTTCTCAGTGTTCGCATATAGTCGGCTCATCCAAAGGAATTTCATGGAAAAATACCTATAATGCTGTTGGCGTAAAGCTTTCAACTTTCAACGAAAGCTTTCGTGGAACCGAATGGAGTGGTATTATACGTATGTTTCCTTTTTTTAATACATACTTTGTGTGTTGCGCTTTCCTTTCTTCAAAACACCGCTCCTTGGAGAAACCCCTTAACTATAGTCGTTGGGAATTTGTAACACTTTAAAGTCACTAAAACAACTGAATTTTCTTTTTCGCTATAATTTTTAGTTTTTTTTTCTTATAAATTTAAATTAAATAAAATGATTCGGAAAAAGTGTGGACAATAAATTAAATATAAAAAAACATTTTTGCAAAAATTTTCTTAATTCCTTTGTATAAAATTTCTTTTATGAAAATATTTTAACTAAGCATATTTTTAATTTATCTCATTACAGTTTAGCAAAAACACAAACCAATAGCACACAACTCGACATAACTTCAAATCCCACACCCAGGCCAACCAACCATCAACCACGCAACAACAACATGCAAGTCGAATCGAGCTTCTTAAAATACGCTGGCCGCGTACCGCCACTTGACCTCTCGCAGGTGAGCGCGAATTGTCGCAACGAAAACGAGCTGCAACATCTGTGGAATAGCAAAGCCAGCTCGCCGTCTGTGCTGAAACGTGCAGCGGCATTAGCGCATCCCTATCTACATTCACCGCATACGCCGGCGCCCAGTCCAAACGGTCATAGTGGCAATAATAACAATAATAATAATGACAGATATAATAATAACAACAACAACAACAACAATAATAATGTGAATGATAACGATTATAGCAGCATACTACCACAACACACGTCACTGTATCAACTCGGCTCCGATGGTCTGCCTTTGGATCCGCGCGATTGGACACGTGCCGATGTCTGGAAGTGGCTCATCAATATGGCCGTGTCGGAGGGTCTGGAGGTGACGCCCGAACTGCCGCAGAAATTCCCCATGAACGGCAAGGCGTTGTGTCTGATGAGCCTGGACATGTATCTGTGTCGTGTGCCGGTTGGCGGCAAAATGTTGTATCGTGATTTTCGCGTGCGATTAGCGCGCGCCATGGCGTTGCTATCCTAGAACCGAACCGTACAATGCATGCATACGTGTAATTTATATAGAAATAAATTTAAAAAGTTAAATATTAATGCTTAATTTTCATATTAAATGAAAGTCTCTTTGTAAATAGTAATGGAAATATATATATATATATGTATGAAGGTGTATACATGTAGTTAAGCTAATAAGACTCGATAATTTTGTATGTAAAGAATTAATTAATTGTTTGAAAAATTTTGCTGTCCTATTAGTTGCATAAGCATTTATACATACAAACATACAAGCATATGATAAAACATAACTCCTAATTTGTAAATTACATTTAAATTATAATTAAATAAAAAATAAAAATTAATTGTTTTATATTTTATATTGTATATTGTTATTATATCCAAATGAGTCCAGACGACAATTCATTGACTAGTATTGTAAATTAGAAAATTGCAAATTTAGCATTAAAGCGAGTGAAAGGAATATAAAATTATGAAAATTTTAAATTACAATAAAATATGGTTCCTTGACAATTTTGAAATTGAAAAAAAAAAACGATTTTTATGGGTGGTTTCAATGGATTTAAAATAGAAAGTAATAAGGTTTGATCCTTTTATTCTATTTGCTCTGGAGAGTGTCGGAAAAAGTGCGTTCGAACATTCATTTTCATATGTATATAAGTATCACCGTCCTAAACGTTTTTTCACCCATGAAACAAGCAAACATTTTCGAGAATTAGGATAAAAAAAATACCCGTCTGACCCTTTTCGAGTGGAATAGCAGCTATGATTTTAGATCATGGACTTTCGCGGGAACCATTGGATTTTAGTCGCCTCTTACGGCAGGCATGCCTTACCTCGGGTAAGGGGAGAAAATAAACCCACTGATTTTTGTTGCTTGGATTTTACGGGTGGGTTTGCTACTGTTGGGCTTCTTACCATGGTCTGCTGTTTGGTTTCTAGATCGTACTTATGGAACTAAGAGTCGTCACCAATAACGACTTTGCTAATATTGCTAGACTGACTATTTTCGAATTTGTTTAAGAAAAATTGAGCCACATGAACTTGAGCCTTTTTCTGGGCCTCATTTAAAATTCGTGATATCCATCGAGCAGATGTCCTGGTGTATCCCAGACGATTAATTAATACTGCTATGACATTCAAGCCCAATTCATTAGCAATCATTTCTTGTCAATTTCAGACTACATCAGAGCTAGAGTGACGGCATCAGCGGAAGATTTTGGTCGACCTTCTCGGTGCTCGTTCTCTAGGGAAAAATGTGCGTGCTGAAACTTTCGGAACCACATAGAAATACTCTTTGAAGGTGGTGCAATCGGTTCAGATGCAATTTGGTATTCACTGAATATTTGTTTTGGCTACAAAGTGCGCGAAGAAAATCACATGGCGAACTTCTGTTTGAATTGGTGGTGGAATTTCGTCTTGGCCCAAAATTTAAAAGAAGACTAATAAAGTTATTGCAAAGGATTTTTGGTATTTTTAGATTTAACAAAAACAAATTGAAAGTCAACAACTGACCGAACTTTTGTTAATCCCCTCGTATTTTATACTAATAAACTACTGTAAAAGAAAGCTAAGCCAATTCGTTATGGCCGCTGCTTGCTCACTAATTTTTTTAGTTTCTCCAAAAAAACTTCACAGCTTAACAACTTTCTCTTCAAATAACATATACGCATTTAATGAAAATCTGCTATATTTTCAATTAACAAATTTTTATACAAATAATCACACACACATATAAGCATATTGTACATATGTACATATATATGTACACATATTAAATAGGTATATGCAGCGTTAATCAATGATTCACTCATAATGCTCTGACTCTATTTCATTGAAACATATACACATACCCACATACATACATACGAATACATCCATCCAACAGACTGCACCAGCATTACTTAGAGAGAAGACACCGCCGAGACGTTGTGCGCTATGGCTAATAAATCAAAGACTTTCAACTAAAATACCGCAGTTGCAAGTGGAGTCTATACTAGAAAGCAGAAAAGGGGCAAAAGGGGAAAAAGGGGCAAAAGTGTATAAAAGTAAGCTGTATTGATTAATTATAAACAAACAGAGTTTCTTAGAGAAGAGCTGAGAGTGGTATTTATAATCCTTTCACAGACTCATATGGATATTCACATATGCATGTATGTATGTATGTATGTGTATAAATAAAGAGTCAGTGCAGCTTGTTGTTTTGAAAACAAATTACGGAAAATTGAAATTGAATTTTTTTTATTTTTATTAATTTTTCTTTTTTCAATTCTCTTGGAATTTTTACCGCTGTCTAGTGGAGAAGTTGGAAGTGTTTTGGTGTGTTGTATTGTAAACATTTACTATTTTTTCCATGCTACTCGGCAATTCGTTCATAATTAACACCTTATTTGTTGACTCGAGCAACTCACAGACTGAGGGATCGAAAGACCGAAAGACCGGCTCTAAGAGGAAGAAACAGCATAATAAACAAAATTATTAACCAAAAAAGAGAAGAGGTGCCATAAAACTTTGAAAAAATGTAATCTTGTTTATATATGTACATTTGTATATATACATATGTGTATATAATCAAGAATGCCATAACCATCAGATTGCGCCCAAGCGTTAACGTCATTCTCTGTTATAAAATTTGACAATCAGCTGTTGCTGTGCTTTCGTCACACTTTCGATTTTTGCTTAAGAGTGCATAACAAAAAAGCGGTTGATTTAATTATTTCATTATATTTATTGTATATTAATACTAATAAAAAAATGTGAAAATTAACTATTTGGTTATATAACTACATATTAGTTCTAGTAAAAAGTAATCCATTATTTGCGCAATAGATGACTCAAGTAAGCTGTGTTTCGTATTGTAAAAAGCATTGAAGTTCACCTTTTGTGATATTGAAATCTACGTTACAAATTTAAATTTTGAAGTTAAATTATCGTAAAAATTACTGGAGGACTTATTTTACGGTGTTTTTTATAAGTTGAGAACCATTAAAAACTTTTACTATTAATTCGCATTCAATATTAGAAGAGCTTTCTATGCTCCCCATATCAAGAAAATCGAATTATGAATACGATTTCTTCGAAAAGATCGGTTCCAGGTCAATTCCCTCGAAGAAAAAGTGTTTCCCTTGAAAATTCAGGCCAAGAGATACCTGTGTACCAAATTTCATGTAAATCAAACAATTTTAAAGTAATTACGATATATCGAATAGATCGGTTCTAGGTCCACATCACGGAGGAAAAACTGTTCCTTAGTGCGAATTGATCATGTTAGTTGGCCTTAGAAAGATGATATTTTGTACTCAAAAAGGCAATGGGAGAAGTGTTGATCTATTAACTCAGTAGTGTTGGAGTGCATGTCTAAAATATACTTTGATAAAGGGCAAAATGCAAGTCAACAGCCGAAAATGTGAATCAGTCAATCATGCAAATTTTCGATTTCGTCGATTCCGGTAATTTTGATGTACGCGATGCTCCACCGTGTGGTAGGCCAATTATCGGAAATGTCGATAAAATAAAGGAAATCGTGCGGGCACTGATTTGGTTGGCTAGCCCTGGGCACAGTGAGCAAAAAACAGTTTGAAACCACTTGGAATAGGCTGGATACACAAAGCAGCTGCTAAATCGTAGCAAAATTGACCCATTTCTGTAGCGAATGATGAATGGTGATGAAAAGTGTATCGTTTACAGTAATACACTTTTACAATAAAAACGTTGGTGGCCGAAGGCCAGTGAGCCGGTACAAACGGTCTCCAAGACCAGATAGAAATTGTTTTGTTGTCTGTTGGGTGGTGGAATTGGTAAGGAATTAACTACTATGAGTGGCACTCCTACGTCCATACTCTTAATTCAGACCTGTACAGTCAGCAATTGAACCGTCTAAAAGAAGAAATTGTGCAGAAGGCGAATCGTGTTTCATTAGACAACACCAGTGACTCGCTAGAAGCTCCGAAAGCGGCTCATAGTCCGCACTTTGCACCAAGTGATTATCACATGTTTTTGTCTATGGGTAATGATTTGGCTATAGAAGAATTCGCCTCAAGAGATGCGTGTGAGAATCGATTGTGCCAAATTTTGCCAGTAGGGACAAGGATTTCTGTGGAAGAGACAAAATTATACCAACTTCGAAATTATACCAACAGGTTATGAATCAAAACGGCGCATATTCGACGTGAATCGGATAATTTTAATTACAGTAAAAAAAACTCTTCAATTTAATGTTAAAATAACGGTTTCCTTTTTACTATACCAATATAAAAATGGATGTTAGGTTAGGTCTATCGCGATTGTATTTTAATCTGTGGGGCTACAAAACTTGACCATTAGCTTCGTCATTCCAAAAATTTCTATTCTCTAATGCACTGTATTAGAGCCATGACTTTAGCGGTGACTATTTTCGTTAAACAAGCCAACAGTAGGGTCCCGAAATACCAAAATCTACTACTCCCCAAAGCATGAGAGACGCATAAAATATGTGTGATCGTTTTTTTCCTTCTCATCAAACCTGCAGCTTCGGCTGGCATCTCCTGTAAAGTGGCCCTGTGACACATTAGACAGTGACCGGTCATGACTACTCTTTTTAAGGAGTAAATATGTCGTAATTTTTTCTTAATCCATTTCGGAAAAGTCTGCCCGCATTTGTTTCTGCGGTTGTAGCTTCGTCTGCCTTGACGCGGTTGGTCCATTTGTAAATTCCTTGAAAAGCACCTTGCAAGTGTAAGGAAGTTCATCTGCCTTAAGATTTATCTCTATATCCCGGTGACGAGGTACCCACGGCAAATTCGGCTAATTTTATTTTAAGAAGAAATCGAAGCTGAAGAAATCGAAGCTGAGCATAGGTAGATGTATGAGTTAGAATATGATGGCCTAGAAAATGTAGCGTGATGAAGTTCCCAGCACGACCACCAAAAACTCACAACATTTTCATTGACTACCAACTTGAGCGAAGCAAAGATAGCATAACGGTATGTTTAGTTATTGAATAAGTCGTACTGAGGTTTCTTAACGATCGGTTGTTCAAAGTTCCTTTGCCTTTGGTGCCAGCCCAAACAAACATAATCAAGGAACGTATTTACATATCTGATATTTGTGAGAGTTCAGTTGAGTTGATGTGGTTGGTGATCAGAGCGAAGAGCGCACTTAGGTCTGGAGGCCATGGGTGTCACCGTTGTGGAATTCTTCTCAGCATCTCAGATGTAAGAACCACGTCGTGTGCTGTGTGTTACGAACGATGCGATACTGCCTACATCAGCCAGGCAGTCAAGAAGTGGTTTCCTAGATACTTACAGTGTCAGAGGTAGTGCCCGACATAC